CTCCAAGGATGAGTGGGTTTGCATCATAAGGGGCGAGGGATGAGGATCAAAAATCTGAATCTCAGCTCCAACTCTCAAAAAATAGGAATTCTAGGTTTGTTATCATTTCAACAATGCATTAAGAGCTTGGGTAGGCCATTTCCTAATCAACAAAAACAGTAGAAAACCAGTAACACTTGGAAATAAACTCACATGGATGTATTGGCCAAAACTGAAATTGCTGAAGAAACTCAGCAGGTCTGGCAACATCTTTCGAGAGAAATCAGGAGGGGTTGCAGTCAGTGGACTTGAAATGTTAATTCCATTTCCCTCCACAGATGCTGCCATATCTGTTGAATTTCTCCAGCAATTTCAGTTTTTGGCCTAGTACTTTCTTTGTGAGTTCATTTCCTCGATCAAAAACTGAAATTTCTGGAGAAACTCAGCAGATCTGGCAGTATCTGTGGAGAGAAAGCAAAGTTAACATTTCGAGTCCACTGACCCCACACTCCTAGATTTCTGTCTACAGATGCTGCCAGACCTGCTGAGTTTCAACAGAAATTTCTGCATTTGTTTCAGATTTCCAGCATCCATAGATACATTACGCAGAGTGGGTGACCGCTTTGCATAACACCTCTGTTCTGTCTGCAAAAAAGGCTCTGAGCTTCCACTTGCTTGCTGTTTTAACACGCCACCATGTTCTCTGACCAGCATCTCTGTCTCAGGCTTGCTGCAGTACTCCAGTGGAGCTCAGTGCAAGCTGGAAAAACAGCATCTCATTTTCTGCTTGGGAACCCAGCAGCTTTCCGGACTTAATATTGATTTCAACAATTTTAGGGCTTGAGCACTTTGCCCTATGCTTTCTCCCACCCCCCCAGAAACCAGGCCTTGTTATTACATAGGTTGCTACTATACACTACCCACTGTCAGTCACTAATAGTCCCCATTAACATCTATTCATTCCCCCAAACTGACTTTAACCATTCCTTTACCTGTTCAACTGTTTTTCTCTCTCTTTGGATTCTATCTCCACCTATTGTTTACTAGTTTTACCCCCCACATCCCCTCCACCCTGATTACTCCACATTCCTATCTACCTGTAGTCACTTTCACCTTCTACTTATCAAGAATCTAACTTTCTCTGCCATACATCTACTTCCACCAACTTGGAGAAAGAGAGTCCCAAAGGCTAACAATGCTTTGAGAAAAAAAGTTCTCTCTGTCTTAAACAAGGAACCTCTTATTTTTAAACTATGACCCTGGTTTTAGGTTCTTCCAAAGAAGAAACATCCTTTCAATACATACCATGTCAAGACCACACAGGATCTTGTATGTTTCGATCAAGTCAGCTCTTACTCTTCTAAATTCATGGTCTCAAGCCTAACCTGTCCAACCTTTGTTCATAAGACCATTCCATCATTCCGGGTATTAGTCTAGTAACTCTCTGAGCTGCTTCCTATTGCATTTGCCTCCTCCTTTAAGTAACGAGACCAATACTAAACACAGTAGTCTCATAAGTGGTCTCAACAATTCTCTGTAAAGCTAAAGCATAGTCTCCCTATTATTTGTAGTCAATTTCCCTTGCACTAAACAATAATAGTCTATAGTTTTCCTAATTAATTGCTGTACCTGCAAACTAACCTTATGTGATTCATGGATGAACACACACACAGAGATCCCTCTACGTCTCAGAGCTCTGCAGTCTCTATTTTGCTGTTAACATTATGGCCATGGGATATGTGTTCTTAAACGCTTGCATTCATTTGAAGTTTCTTTCCCTGGTGTTTACAATTCACCCAAAATAAATGGATTAACAATTGCTATAATAGCATAGACAGGAATTTCAGGTGAACACTATCTGCATTCATATGCCTGCCCCCAAACATATGATTTCACCTTTTTTGTTAAAGTATTTTTGTTATTGTGATGAAGATTTCAATGGTCTTTACCACATGGAAAATCCAGGCCCGACATATGCGATCACCACCATTTCCAAGATCCCCTCTCAATCACACAGAATTTAAGTTAGAAATGTATCACTGCCCTGGTTCAAAATCTGGAAACTATCCCATGAGCATTTTTTTCAAAAAAAAATTTGGTGCACAACATGCTATGGTAGAGAAATAGAAGGTTGACTTTTCTTATGATGGAAACTAATTTATAATTGTGCATCACAACATCGACAAATTCTTTGAGTTTCCGCACAGTAATTATTCCATATTGATTATTGTTTTTAGTAAATGTCTTGTGGTGCAAGAAATCAAGTTCGATAACAAATAGGCATTTGGGGTTTTTGCTGAAGTCTTCCTCATTTCTCAAGTAGGCAATAACATTGAACTCTTGTCCTTAAGGACAGGAACAGAAGATTGTACAGTAAATCCAATACCATGTAGATACAAAATGACACCCAAAATGTTGCCATCTATATTTGTTACTTTCAACATTTTACAATAATTTAAGTTGTGTTCCTTAGAAACAGGGCAATTTTCCTGGGACTCAACAGAGATGAAACCAGTTCTTTTGCTGCAGACATCTATAATGCTGTACATGAGAACTGTACTGAGTATCTTGGATTCAGTGGCTGGAACACACTGACTCTTTTGTACAGGATAGCCGTGGCATCAAAATCCATTGGCAAAGTGTTAGGAGCTTTTGTTGAAGAATTTCTGCAATTAAGTAGGAAATTTTAGCATCCGAAAACAAGTGGAGTTGGATCAAATGGGAAATTAAAGTATTAAAAGTCTAAATCCCAACTACAAACTTCCCATTCTGGTTTTACTGACAGTTTGTCCTCAAATTTATTATCAACATTTTGCAGGGTGTTAAGATCTCTGCTGATGCTGGAGGGAAAACAAGAAGCTATGCTTATTTGAAGTCTGTGTGTGTGTGTAGAACCATGGTGCCATACTCTGTGCCGG